AATCAACCATCCAATCAATTGTTTAGAATGTTTAGGATTTTATTTTCGATTTTTGTCATTTGGACGATCACTTAGTAGACAAAACTCTGAATAGCCTTCCTTCGAGATCGACCCGAGTCGAGTAGCTCGGTTATCCCTTGCCCATCAAATCTATACTAAACACACATCGATCTATTTGGACTGAAAATTATTTATAAAGGAAGCTAATTAAACTTCTTGAAATATGCATTGAGATTTTTGCTGCAAAAATATTGAATTATTTAAATAAAATTTCATTGACAAAGGAAAGGCAACTATAGCAGACAATTTTTACTCCAACATACAAGTAAATTGATGAATAGATTTTGATAGTTTTTTTTTTCTATATATAATTTATTTACTATTGAACACAAATTCACATCAATTTTAGTTGCACAATAAATGTTAAAAATTAAATATAATGTTTAAATTACAAATTTTGAAGCATGTCAATTTAGTTCCAAAAAATAACTTGCATGAGATTTTACATTTTGAAAAATATTTATAAATATTATTTCTCAATTCACCCTCTTAGTCCTAACATATTGTGAAATTTATTTAATTTGTTCCAACTAAAAAAAGTTAGAGATGATATTGTTGTGTTTTAAAAAGACTATTATTCTACTTTATAAATATATATAATGACTTTTTTTTCAAAATTAAAACCAATATTCAGTAAGTCAAAATATAAATTAAATTTTCTCTAAAATAATGTTCTTGTCAATAAGTTTATATATTTCATCTATATTAACATTCAATAATAAATATATGCAACCTCTTATGTTTAATTTATTTTTAAGACAAATTATATTATTTTCAGACAATAATTTTTATCTTGATGTAACTTTTTCTATAAATTTAGGTACACTAAGACTAAGTGAGTTAATACATTATTTATTCACGTTAATAAACGATTATTTTCGATAATAACCACAAACTTGGATATTATACCTTCACGTTAAAAAAAATATCATTTTTTATATCAACCCCAAACTTGGATATTATACCCTTACTTCTTAACTTTATTCCCTTTATATGTCCGATAATTTGAACAATATTACTTGAGTTATCCAACTCTAGAAATTCTAACAGAAGATGATGATAGGTTACTTAATTTGAGTTGATGTGTGTAATATATCTAATTCACACACACAAAAATAAAAACAAAAACTAAAGAATTAAATTTTGTATATAATTGATTTTTAATCATCTTTTACATATTGCAATTTGAATCTAACATAAAATCTTAAATCTAACCGAATACATAACATTTCACCATACAACAAACCTACATATATTTCATTAATTCTCATTTCTTTTTTTTCTCTATGAAAAAACACACCATCATTGGTCCTATGTGTTTTGTGTTCTCTTACATTTGCAAGATTTTTCCCTAAAATTAAAAATAAAATTTAAATTATGAGAAAGCAAACGATTGTTAGTTTAAATAAATTATTTTCATAAACTAAAATGATTTCCATCTTTATATTTACCTTTTTTGGTTTTTTGTACTTTCTAACTTATATATGTATCCTCGCATTTATGACAATCAACATAAACTCGTATTTTAAACACTAAGATCTATGAATCTTGGTATTTTTTGGATGTGTTATTGTTGAATATGTTTATTATTTTGACAACATCCAATGTTACCAACATTATACTCGTATAAAGAATTAAATAAATAATTTTTTTTTCTATTTTCTAAAAGATATATATATATATATATATATATAAATATCTACAATTTTATTTAACATTTTCTAAAACATTTTAACATTTTGTTAAATGTATGAAAAAATCATCAAAGTTGAGTTCGTGAATCAACGTGACACGATACTTATATATAACTATTGTGAAACAAACATCAAGTGTGCAGAGTGTCAAAGACATATGAAATAAGAAATTCTAAAAAAGATTCAATTAGATATAGAGTATCATATTAAAGATAAATGTTTTTGTCTCATTTTGATTTTTTGTCCCAACAATGATCTAAATGAAATATTGTCATGAGTTCCAAAAAATTAATTTTAAAAAACACTTTCATTTAAAATTGTTATCAATAATTATTAAATGAAATTATGTTAATTGTTTACAATAATAAAAAAAGATTATATAAAAAAGAACTTGCACTTACCCA